AAGTCCTTCTCGGCAGGGCTGCTCTCAATCCCTTCATCCCCCAGCCTGTATTGATACCGGGAGTTGCCTGACCCACGTGAAGGACCTTGCACTTGGCCTTGTTGAACCTCATGAGGTTCATACGGGCCCACTTCTCGAGCTTGTCCAGGTCCCTCTGGATGGCATCCCATCCCTCAGGTGTGTCAACCACACGTGTTGACCGCACGTGTCAAGCAACATTAAAAATTTATTCCTTTTTATTTATTTAGTCATTAATGTGGCTGGCTTCTAATGAGACAGAAATTGGAGGCTGTAATTTCTGTTCCAAAGACTTGATAGTCATATCACTAAAATGTACTCTTTTGCTATGAACAGTTAATCTGAGTTAAAAAGGAAAAAGAAACTAAAAAAAAAAAAAAAAAGAAGCATTTAACTAAATAGTTGTGTTTGCTCCCCAGGATGGAAGGTGGCAGATGCCTGTCTGACTATGTGGAAGTCTATGATGGGCCACTCTATACCTCTCCTCTTCTTGGGAAATTTTGTTCTGGTTCTTTTCGCACATACACATCTTCCTCAAACCTGCTGACTGTGCGATTTTACAGTAACTCTTGATACACGTACAGAGGGTTTCAGGCTCACTATTATTCCACTCCAGCAGATCAGAGCACTAGTAAGTTAATGTTTAAAGCAGAAACCTGCTTCTCAATTATTTGCTAATTCACTGATTGTTAATCTTGTTGTACCACTTCAACAAATCACCCATTTCATGTTGTTTTAAATTAAATCCGTAGCATTTCATAGATATGCAAGTGTATGGTTTGGATTCTGAACTCCTCCTGCAATATCAGCTGCTTCTGCAAAAGATATTGTTTATTTAAGTATAACCTTTTTCAGTCACTTCGATGAGCTTGTAACGTATTTTCTTTGCCATTTGCTAGCACTGTCGTGTTTGCCAGACTACATGCATGTAGTTGTGAGCAGATACTACCTTCAGTCACAAGGCTACTCTGCTTGGAATCTCTCCTTGAATGATCCCTATTGCAAACCCAACATTACATCAGAGTATGTTATATTCGACATACCATACACTAGCTGCGGCACAGTGAGAGAGGTATGACTTTAAACGTTTCAACAGAATATGCAAATATTGTGAGTGTGTAAAAATTCAAACTGAAGAATTAATTTTGAAAACCAGTGCAAATTGAAAGCCATACCGAGGTCTGCAGGGACTGGAATTGTCCTGGTAATTCTGGGCTTAGAATTAAGCCTCCTGAGGGATAAGGTTTATTAACACTCATATTTCCTGCACCTGCTGCCAGAGTATTCACTTATTGCCTGTTATTGATTTTCTAAGGAATAAAGTGTGGAAGGAAGAAAATACTCGGCATTTTCAAGGTCCCAAGCTGAGTGTGGTAGTTAAAAAGGTCTCAATTGTGTTTATGTCAGATTTGAGCTTAAATGCTGTGCTGGACCAGATCCTTCAGGCATCTGGTGTTCAAAGAGTTGTACAGGTTGTATTTAATGAATTATGTCTGCAGGTAGTGTGAGTAACTTTCTAGGTCCACACTGTAGTCACTCAATACTACGTGTAGATTGCAGATTCTTATCTTGAGAACAGAAATTCCTAGGTTCGGACTTCTCCACAGCAGACTTTCTGGGAAATAATGCATTTACTGTGCACATTGCTGTAAGGGCACAGTAAAGTTTAGAATTCATATTGGGAAACCTGACTATATGAATTTATTTTGCATTTTATTTTATATGCCAAACAGGGAAACAACAATACAATAATCTATTCCAACCTTATTAGAGGATCCTCTTCTGGTACTGTAATCACAAGAAATAGAAATCTTCACTTGCATATCAACTGCAAAATGCTCCAGAACACATGGGCACAAATAATGTATGTTGCGGAGGACAATTTTCAAGTCAATGAAACTCAGTATGGCAGATACGACGTAAACCTTACATTTTATCATTCTGCATCCTTCTCACGGCCGGTGACTGACTCACCATACTACGTTGATATCAACCAGGATTTGTTCATTGAAGCTTACCTGCACAGCTCTGATTCAAACCTGGTGTTGTTCGTGGACACTTGTGTGGCATCTCCCACTCCCTACAATTTTACGACAGTAACTTATGATATAATCAGGAACGGGTAAGCTCTTATACATTACAATTAAGATAGAACTGCCTTTGAACTCCTGTATCTCTTCTTTTTTTTCTTTTTTTTAATTTTTTTTTTTTTAATGTAATAGTGTGAATATAACATACATTAATGTCAGCTTCTAACTAATCAATGAACATAGGCATTTGAGGTTTATTGGGGGAAGGGGGATGGATTGACCCAAAATATAAGACACACACCCCCCAGCTTAAAATGACAAATAGACTAAATGGCTATGGCCAGTTCACCGTGGATTGTTGTTATGAGAGAGGTAACAGTGACATATCTCAGGTAAGGATAATTCACCTTCAGAAAAACAGACAAACACTAGGTATCTAGACAAATGAAGGGAGGCAACATGGCTCAATGCTGCCAAAGAAGGGCATCTTGCTTTTCCTAATTGCAGGTTTCTGAACCATCTTCATCATCTTTAAAAATCACTTTTCATGTTATGTGTTATATTGCGTGTAAATGACTGATTGCAGTGTGTATTCATAAGAGGTTTTTTGTTTCTTTTTAGGTGTGTTCAAGATTCTACCTATGCTACCTATTATTCACCCTACAGACACATAGTCCGGTTTACATTCAACGCCTTCCAGTTTATTCGTAACAATCCATTGGTTTACCTGCAGTGTGAACTAGTGGTGTGTAGGGCCTATGACTATTCTTCCAGATGCTACCAAGGTTGTATTACCAGGTCCAAGAGAGAGGCAAGCTCTGGCCAAGAAAGGGTGACTGTTGTTGCTGGCCCAGTACAGCTTCTGGAAGCTGGTGCTGAGAATAGGAATGCACGTGATTTTAAATAAAACTTTGCCTCCTTTAGCAGATAGCATCTTTAAATGCCAACTTAATCCTGCGTGAAACTATGCTGCTGCTGGATTACCGGCAGCTCTACAATAAACATTAAGAATGTGCTTACCGGCTCTTGCCTATTAATCCCACTTCACATCAGTTGTCTTTGCCTGCACATCATAAAAAGGCTAATTCAGTAGCTCTGCAGGGAGTCTGATGAGACAGGGCACAGGCAGCTCTGTGGAACTCACCTTTTCCCAAACTGCCTGCGACTTGTAGCTGTCGTGTCTGAAAAGCCAGTTTGAAAGCTTCCCAGACAAATTTGCGATCTCTAAGATTTTCGTTTGTGGTTTGCTTTCTTAATGGTAAAACTGAAATGCTTAAGTTGCAGTTTAGGTTCTATAAACAAGCTCTGCTAATATAGTCCTTGTTTGATGTGTATTCAGAGTACCCTGGAGGTATCAGGGTGCAAGAAATAAGATGAGAGGAAATGGCCTCAAGTTGCGCCAAGGGAGGTTTTGACTGGACATTAGGAAAAATTTCTTTACTGAAATAGTGGTCAGGCCTTGGAACAGGCTGCCCAGGGAAGTGGTGGAGTCACCATCCCTGGAGGTATTTAAAAGACGTGTAGATGAGGCGCTTAGGGACATGGTTTAGTGGGCATGGTGGTGTTGGGTTGACGGTTGGACTCGATGATCGTAGAGGTCTTTTCCAACCTTAATGATTCTATGATTCTACGAAATTGTTTGATCTTTAAACCTGATCTAGAATGCCTTTTTTTTTTTTTTTTTTAATGTTTTGGAAATAACAAGATGAGGGATCAAATGTAACCAGGTCCTCTCATCCTTCCCAGAACGGGACGCTTTTGTCATCTAGGAGAACATGAATTCAGCTCCTGCTCCAGCTGATGTTTCTCATGCACCATTTATTATTGCTGTCAGGCCCCTGGCAGTTGCTTTTCACTCTTGTTGGGTTTCTTTTGAAACATAAAGTGAAGAAACCCATTCCATACCAGATCATGCAAGCGTTAGTAAACACCTGCAGCTGATCACATATTGGTTGAGTAATTTGATGGATTGAGTAATTTTCTTGCATTGAGTAATTTCCTTGAAAATTCAAGATTAAAATCCAGTCATGAAAGGCTTTCTGTGGTGATGGCTCACCTCATGAGAAGAGGTGGGCTTGACATAACAACTCAGCATTGAAGGAAGCCAGAAGGCCAGGGTAAGTTTGCCCAGTAACAACCCTCAAATTAGTTGCCACCTGCAATATTAGGCTCTCAAATCTTAACACAAGACCTGATTCATCAGCTTCCTCCTCTCAGGATGGATATCTTGACTCTGCTAGTGAAAAATCGTGGGGTTGTGGGCAACCCAGAGAGCCAGTTCCTGCTCCACACCAAACATGAGTTTGTTTCCCGCTTCCTCAGATGTAAATTAAGACCAAGAGTCCTTCCTTTCTCTAGAGCAGCTGCGAGTGCATCACACTGTGTGTGCTGCGTGACAACCAGTAACGGAGCCCATCTGCGTACCTCTGAAAGGTACTTCAATAAATCTCAATGTGATGCCATGTATGTATTTCAATTCACCCTTCAGGCAAGGCTAGCACTGTTGAAACTGCCCTGTAATGTTTTCTGTTTCCACCGCAGTCAGTGCTAGCAGGCAAAATACTTGAATGCAAGTACTACTGTTGTACTCTGCTAAACCTTCTTTTAAGTCCTGTTTTCTATCAATTCCAATTTTCTAAGATGGAGATTAAATTTTGCATAAAAATTGCATGGCATAATGTAATGTTTCAGATGGAAAAGGTTTTATGCAGCTAAAAATACCTGGACAATCGCACATGACTGAAAGAGAAAAATTATTTTTCTGAATGCATATGGATCCTCATACATAATGTCTGAGTATTTTGTGACTCGTTCTTTAGGGAGGTCCTTCCTGTTGAGAAAATGAGCTATTTGAGATATTTGCAATTATGGCTGATCTCCAATATAAATTATGTCATTACAAAATCAGGAAGACAATGTTTCTAGTGTGATATTTCTGTCCTGATTCCCGAAAGTGTCTCTGCATTTGAACTCAAAGTTTTGCTGTCTTGAAGAGCATCATCTGCAATAAAGACATTTTTCCAAGCAACATGTTGTTCATATATGGGGTTCTCCTGCAAGAACACAGGAACATGACATACCTGGGCTCTGGAAAAATCCAGGAAGATCTTATTTGTGGTCCAGATCTGCTGTGAGATCAGCCCTACATAACAGCTTATGTCTGTGACTTACTGTCTAAGTGAGGCACTTTCACGCTGTGAAATTCATACAGATCTTTATTATACTATTACCATGATGGTATAATTATTGCTACAGCCTAACCTAACACTTCACTGTCAGCCAAAAGCAATTCTGGAAAACAACTTAAACGTCCCATGTCTAGTTTTTGGGGTTTGTTTTTTTTTTTTCTTTGCCAGTAAATAAGGTCAAATGAAGTCAATATAACTTTTTTAGGCAATACCGTAGCTCTGCTATGTATCGGGCAAAGGTGCCGATTTATCTGCTTGCATTTCTGCAGGAAAAAAAGACAACTACCAGCAACAACAAGTGAACATCACTGGGGCTATAGTGCCTTCCTGGAGTGCTGTGTGGCACAAACGTCTCAACAGTTGCAGGATGGCAAAAAGGATGCCACTCCAAGAATGCCTGACCGCAACCTTCCTGCTCCAGGCTGCAACACCCCTGACTCCTCCTCAGGGCATGGCACAGCTCTGCTGGGTCAGTGCCATGGGGGTTGCAGAGGTGATCTAGCACGATTTGCCCCATCAGGTAACCGTTGCACATAACATCTGGTCATCTTGGGGCTCTGAGAAGAACAAACTGCTGTATAAGCTGACATGGCATCAGTCTTGGCTATCCGACTGCAGCTTCCAGAATCCAAACCTCATCACAGCCATCAACCAACTGCACGTCTTCTCCTCCTCCTGCTTTCCCAAACAGCAATACATACTGTGGATGGTACATGCTGGACTGAGATACTGGGAGATCCTCATCTGCCGGGCCATCAGTAGGCAGCTTCTAGAAAGATCTTTGAAGAAGCTGGTGCCTTGAGGAAGTGCTGTGCTTCCTTGTCCCCTGCCTGTGGCTGCCCGCATGAGCTGGACTGCGCTCCTGATGCGTCTCCGGTGACCACAGCGCAAGACGGGGCACAGCAGAGGCAGAGCACGACGCTGTTGGCAATGGAGCACATCTCACCGGCGCCTTCATTGCAGAGCAGCTTTGCTTTGATGTCTCTGGAAAGGGCGTTTTCATCCTTAGCGCTGGATTGTGTGTTATCAAGGCTGGCCTTGGACTGTGGCCAAGGCAGGTGGAAATGGACTTCAGTGGCTGCTCTCAGGGCAGCTCTTCCACCTGAGTCAACAGACCTTTGGAAGCTTTATTGCAACGTTTAAAAGCTTATGATACTCAAGAAAGCAAGGCTAACCTGCTTAGGTGTAGTTGGAGCTGTGAATGGGCGAACAGAGCTACTGTTACAGCCACTTCTTTTGGAACATGTTCAAAACTTCCCAAGGGAAAAAACCTGGATCAGACTTCAGTGTCTTTTGACTCATCACATTACCACTGTGGTAATGTAATTGCATATAGCCGGAGGAAATTTTTCTGTGGAAGGTTTCTGAAGAAGAAGAGGGCTAAAAGATAACATAGACTGAGGACTGAACTGGGTGAAAGTTCAATGATTCACAAGTACTTAATGTTTAAGACCAAAGTATGTGGAGTAGCTAAAGGGTTATAATAAATTTCTGTTATGATGAAACTACAACCTACATAATTGCAGCAAAACCCCAAATGTCTCCATAATTTCTCCCTCTATTAAATACTGGTGAATGAATATAAAAGATATGAGCATCCCTATAGCGATATTTACACTGTCGTATTTGCACTAAGGTGTGAAGTTTTCCCCACCATTCCTTGATTATGTACGGTGAGTCTTTTCCATCTATATATCAAATCTCAAATTTTAGGTCAAATGGTGTAGTCATTGAAGTGCTCTTAGTAAATACAAATAATGTTTGTTAATAGCTAACGTCTGCTCTTACATTTTCTTTTTTTAATCATTCTTTCCTTAAGTGCTCTGCTAATTCTCATTTGAAAAGGTTGGTGTTAGTATTTATTTCTCTTTGAAGGCTTCTTGTCAGTTCAGTAAAAGCCTATATCATTACTATTCTTAGCTCAGGTTCTTGGTTCAAAACTACACCAATCTTCCTACACTGTAGGGTGGCAGCTACAGAGAGCACAATGGAATAAGTCAATGGCTATTGTCTTTTTCTTTTTTACGGGATGACTCATGCATCCTTATGACGAGACAAAGTAGATTCATTGTGTTATTGTATTCACATGAACCGGGGAATGCCAAAGCCAAAGGCAGTTGCAGCACAGTGAAATCCTCAGGAAAAAAATATAGGTCATACAGGGGATAAGATGTATGACTTGCAAACACAATGCAGAATCTTTTGGGAGTATTTTGAACATTTCTATAGATCTGCACTGTTCTTGGACCATATTTGTGAAGCTTACAGTCAATCTAACAAAACTGAGTATCAGTGAAAGCCATAAGAAGATATTTTATATCACCTCAGTTTAAAGCGTCTCCATCACTTTTCCCCTTCTTTTTTCCTTCTGTTTGGTTTTTTTTTTAGATAAATAGACCAATATAAAATTCCTCTTATCTAACAAAGATATGTTTGCAAGGACTGAAGTGACCATAGACCAATATAAAATTCCTCTTATCTAACGAAGATATGTTTGCAAGCACTGAAGTGACCGGGTTAGGCAGCTAAGCCTTGCCTAGCCTTTTCAGCAGGCTGTGAGCACTTGGGCAGTCAGTTAATGTGGCCAGTGCCTGCCCATACATTATGCTACGGCCAACTTCTAGGCTCTGTTCTCTATACCAACACTTAGCTGTTATTTATGTAATGGCAAGCACAGCCTGGAG